GAGGGATAGGTTTTTAAAAATTTTTGGTTTAGAATTTATGAGTTAACTTTCTGTTCTTTTGCTTATGGAATGCTGCTATTATGAGTTTAGGTGCCTTCTAAGTGCCATAACCCACCTCAGCTTTAAGTGGTTCGTAATTCGTCTCCTTCTCTCGCTCTTCAATTTCCGCTTTTCGTCTAGCATTTTCTTCTCGCAGCATCTCTAATTTCTTCCTTTGGGATAGATACTAAAAATCGCTCTAAACAGTTAAGATCTCTACAAAGGTAGAAGTTGCTCTTACGGCTGCATATTCCGGGTTATCGTTGAGTTGTTCACGTAACTCTTTCAACCGTTGTTCACATCGCAATCGACGTTCTTCGAGCACTGGTACTATGGCTTTCAGCTCTTCGTGACGTCCTTGCAATTTCTAAAATAATTATAAAAGTTGTAAAAGCGATAATGGTCCCAGTGAATAAGTAGACTCAACCTCGACATCGTCTCTGGCTTCAGCAGCAATTTTATCCACGTCTGTGAAGTTTTCGATTTGCTCTCTCATTTCGGCCATTTTCGTTCTCATTGCTTCCATTTCGTTATTGTAACGAACTTCGATGTCATCAAGGGTTTGAGACTCTTCTTGAAGTCGTATGTACACTAAATAAGCAATGGTATACCCCAATTATTCCAAAGCATTTTCCAAATTCAGATAAAATTAAATTAACTCAGTTTTGGATTTTGACATATTTTGATTTAACACGATATGCACTATTTGACTCCCGCGAATATACAGAATTTGTGCATTTCGCTAAAAGAGCCATTTTCAAATGATTACGAAAATAACAATAACTCTTTTGAAAAACACTTAGAACTTCTTGAGCCTTTTCTGTCAAAAATGCACCTTGTCGGCTGAAATCAACCAAATCTTTAGTGCAAGTGCGAATAAATTTAGGTCTAGCTGTGCAAAATAAAATTTCTAACTTTTTTAATCACTCACAATTTCGGAGCTCCTCCAATGTTGCTCTACCTTGCAGCAGCTCATTCATGTCAAGTGAGGTAACTCGTGGTTCCAGGGCTGCTGCCTAAATTGACGAAATTTTTGAGGCGCATAAGATTCAGGTCTTCTACACCTGTTCAACATTCAGAGAAATTCTTCTCAGTAATTGTACTATTTCTTCTCCATATTTGTCCAACTCGATGGTTAGATTCTAAAATAGTTATAGTAGCTGAGATTTGGAAATCACGTAAATTATGCTAACCTCCTTTAGTTCTTCGAAACCTTTTAGGAAATCGTCGTACTCCTTCTCTTTCACTAGTAGATCATGGTACTTCTCATTATTTTTTGCTAGAAAATACAATTTTCCCGCTTTACTTCAACTTCTCATGTCATAACATTCAACAGTTTTAAACAAATAAGGCACAATTTTCTTACCCAGTTTCTCATTTGCACTTGAATCAAACTCGCGAAGTTCCTCATGTGCAATGTTGATTTGCTCGTTGATTTTTAGTAACCTGAAAGAAGGGAAGTACGATTTTTACTTGCAAGGTTTTCGAAGTCTTACTGTTTTTCCATCTTTTCAATATCCTCATTACTGGCTCTCATTTGTTCAATGAGCTTCTGCTTCTTTTGCTGCGGTGTTTCTTTGGCTTCTTTTTCAGTCAACAATGCAGTTCGTTTCTTCTCCAACTCCATAAGATTCTGTTGCAGTTGAACTGGAACTCGGTTTACTATATTTATTCAGTCATCTATCTAAGAATCCGTTTGAATAAAT